GTGCCACGAATTTTTCTTCTTTTGTTTCTGGTTTGACTGTCGTCTTGTTTCTTACGTTCCTCGATTTATTTTTTTTTTTTTTTTTTTTACCGTTTTTTTTTTTTTTTTTTTTATATGTAGTTTCACACAAATCTATACCTCTGGAAAATAAGTGATTTATCAACTAGTTAAATATTAAAATACAAAATATCTGATTTGTGTTGCTTTGACAGTTTCACAAGCGCATAAGGATTATACGTAAATAGCTTAGTTATTTGGAGAGTAAAATATTAGTATTATTGAGTGATTGGATACTAAGATTCCAATCGGTGTATTAACACATTGAGAAAGCGGAGAACAAGTAACAAATAACAAATAGCATGTGACTCAATGGTCGTGGCCTTTGAAAGTTTACATTTCTGAAAGCATGATCTTCGCATGATTTAGATTATACGTATACTACTGTATGTACACGATGGATATATACATATTGCATTACATATAGTATTTCTTCAAACAATGAATTTCACAAAAAAGATCTCGTTACTGGAATTATTGGATACATTAATTGAATGAACATACAAAAATCAGATATTATACAAAGATGTCTTTACGAATAGTCAGGATTAACCACCTTTTTTCCTTTTGAAAGATCAATTTTACAAAAACTACTATTGATGTCTTGCAAAAAACGGGAGAGAAATCTGAAACGTGCAACTATTGAGTCTTAAAATTCATTGACACTGGTTGGCATGTGGCAAATGCAACAATTCCTTTTATCTTCTATTGACGCTGTAATTCTTTTCAGGACTGTCGATGGTAAGGATAAGAAGAATAAGAAGAAAGGGCTCTTTTAAGTCGACTCTTCAGAAAGACAACCGTGGAGTGAGCTTTTTCCTAAAAAGTAATCAATAGTGATTTTTCTTAAAAAAAAAAAAAAGAAAAAAGAAAAAGAAAGAAAAAAAATATCATATCGATAACGATGGTTTTCCCTGAGTAAAATTAAAGAAACAAAATCATTGAAAACAATTTACATTTATGTGTAAAAAGAAATATCTCCTGATCCGTTATATATCTGGTTTTTCAACATTTTTCTTATCATCTAAAACAACATTGTCACGGAATCGGGCACAGATAAAGCGTGACCTGTGAGATTCGTTAAATTAATTATTAAATGATAAAGAAATATCTGTGGCTTGAATTATGCAATTAACGCGACCATGTCGTTCTACGTTTGTGTTACGCGACTCTCTCGCTGTTTCTAATTCTTCGTAATTTCCAATAATTCTTCTACAAGCAAAAACTGTGTTATACAATTTTATAAGAGAGGGAATGGAAGAATATTTCCTCTGTCGTGTGTTCATCTGTGTACTTGTCTCGTGCTTCCTCGTCACATCGATGTCCAAACAAAGAATCATCATTCAGCAAATTGAACATATGATACTGTACAAAATGTAAACATAATCTCGAACGACGTAATTTTCTTTTGACAAGAGTGATCGAAATGATTACCAGAGGAAAAGAAAAAAACAAAGAAATCTTTGATCTTCAATCTATTTACTTTTTAGTCAATCTACGTACATTTATGTCTTTAATATTTAAGATTTTAATATTTAAACGAACATTTCGAATGTCATTATTGATACAACAGCTTATTGAGTTATTTTCGGTATTCTAGATATACGATAATTAATGCGCGTGTGTATGATACACAACTGTCATCAAGATTTGCGTTTATTTTAATTAAAACAAGTACTTGAATGTTTCAAACAAAAATTATCGAATAATCACTCTTGCAAAACATTGTATGTATCATACGTAACTGGAAGGACAGATTCGATCCACGAGTTCATTCGTGTCATTGGTGAATTATTTTTTAGGCGAGGTGCGACACATTGCCGACCTAATTTAATGGACGAGAAAGATCTCCGAATATAGAGTTAGCAAATAAATTGTACTCGATGTTTCTATCACTTAAAACTAAATTGTTAAAAAGTAGTAGTGCATTTATAAAGAGATATCCTTAAGGAAGCGATAAAAAAAAGGAGGAAAATTGTATAAATAATTGTTTTACATCGATCGACATTCTTCCTTTACAGTATTCGCTTAACGTGCTGCTTTCTATAACGAACATCGGACACGAGAGAACTAAAAGAGGAAAGGACAAAATTATTTCAAAGGTCCTCACGCCAACACCTCAACTCGCATCATTTCTGCGCCAACGGATCGTTGAATGTGATTCTAAAAAAAAAAAAAAAACGAAGCAGTGGCCATATACATATACATATATAAATATTATATTTATGTATAAATTAAATCGAGGGAACCGTAAAGCGTATTAGCGTAAGCGATACGAAGTCCAGTTCGTGTAAATTTAAGTTGTACCGATAACGAGTTTAAGGTTAAATTGTATAAAATGAATCTAACAGTAAGTGTATCGTTGGATCGTTGCGATTCGAGACAGCGCGTTCAGCTTGTTTTTTTTTTTTTTTTTTTTTTTTTGGTTGTTGGTAAAACCAAAGGAAACAGAAATAACATGGTTATGTTGGTAAAATCGAAGGAAACAGAAATTATCGAATCATCGATTATTAAGATTAAAATTGAAAGGAACCGTGCCGTCTCGAACCCGTCCAAGTATACGTTGATATCTGCGACAAGAATGGGCAAACCACCGAGATTTAACAGATTCAACAAGTTTCTTTTTTAAGAGCATTTTTCTTGTTGTTTTCATTTTCTTTGCAAAAAAAAAAAAAAAAAAAAAAAAAA